GTCTGTGTGTGTGTGTGTGTGTGTGTGTGTGTGTGTGTGTGACTAGAGATATAGTCTCAGTAAAGCCCAAAATCTAAAAAAAAATAAAAACAGCAATTGATAAATGGGACCTGTAAGGCAAAGGACACAGTCAGCAAGACAAAACGGCAGCCCACAGACTGGGAAAAGATATTCACCAACCTCAAATCTGACAGAGGGCTGATTTCCAAAATATACAAAGAACTCAAGAAGCTAGTCTCCAAAACACCAAACAATCCAATTAAAAAGTGGGGTATAGAACTAGATAGACAGCTCTCGATTAAAGGAAGCTAAAATAGCTGAAAGACACAAAGAAAGTGTTCAACATCCTTAGCCTTCAGGGAAATGCAAATCAAAATAACTCTGAGATACCATCTTACTCCTGTCAGAATGGCTAAAATCAAAAACACCAATGGCAGTTTATACTGGAGAGGATGTGGAGAAAGGGGAACACTTCTCCACTGCTGGTGGGAGTGCCAACTTGTACAGCCATTTTGGAAATCAGTATGGCTACTCCTCAAGAAAATGGGAATCAGTCTACCACAAGATCCAGCAATTCCACTCTTAGGCATATACTCAAAAGAAGTACATTCATACAACAAAGACATCTGTTCAAAGATGTTCATAGAAGCATAATTTGGAATATCCAGAATCTGAAAGCATCCTAGATGTCCCTCAACTGAAGAATGGATAGAAAAATGTGGTATATTTACACAATGGAGTACCACTCGCAGAGAAAAACAACGGAATCTTGAAATTCGCAGGCAAATGGATGGAACTAGAGGAAACAATTCTGAGCGAGGTAACCCAGTCACAAAAAGACAAACATGGTATGTACTCATTCATATGTGCATTTTAGACATAGATTAAAGGATTACCAGCTTACAGTCCACAATGCCAGAGAAGCTCATGAACAAGGAGGACCCTAAGACAGACATACATGGTCCACAAGAGAAGGGGAAAGGGTCAAGATCTCCTTAGCAAATTGGGAGCATGGGGGAATGGGGAAGGAGCTAGGAGAAGGATAAAGTGAGAAGATGAGGGGTGAGAAGAACATGAGCGAGCAGAAAGATTGAGTTGGGGGAAGAACAGAAAAAAATACAGGAAAGGAGATACCATAATAGAGGGAGACATTTTAGGTTTAAAGAGAAATCAGGCCCTAGGAAAATGTCTGGAGATCTACCAAGATGACATCAACTAACAATCTCAGCACCAGAGGAGAGGCTACCTTAAATGCCCTCCCCTGATAATGAGATTGATGACTGACTTATATACCATCCTATAGCCTTCATCCCACAGCTGGTGGAAGTAGAAGGAGACACCCACAGCTAAACACTGAACTGAACTGGAATCCAGTCGCACAGAAGGAATTCAGATGAGCAAAGGGGTCCAGACCAGGCTGGTGAAACCCACAGAAACAGCTGACCTGAACAATAGGGAGCTCTTGGTCCCCATACTGGTAGCTGGGAAACCGGCATGGGACTGATCAAGACCCCAGGAATGTGGGTGTCAGTGAGGAGACCTCGGAAATCTATAGGACCTCCTATAGTAGATCAGTACTTATCCCTAACATAGGCGTGGATTTGGGAGGCCATTCCTTATAGAGGGATGCTCCCTGAGCCAAGACACACAGGGATGGGCCTAGGCCCTATCACAATGACAGACTCTGAAGACCCCTTTGGAAGGCCTCACCCTCACTGGGGAGCAGAAATGATATGTGATAGGGTAGGGTTTTAGTTGGGTGTGGTAGGGGAGGAGGGGGCAGAGGGAACTGGGATTGGCATGTAAAACAATCTTGTTTCAAATTCAAAAAACAAAATGGAGAAAGAAAAAAAACGATTAGGAAGTATATAAAAATTATATGGCTACTTATAAACCATTTGATCTTACAAAATATTAGAAATGGAGGTCAGATTTTTGTGAGTTGAATGAGAATGTCCCAAATATACTTAGATATTTGAACACTTGTTCCAGAGTTGGTAGAGGTATTTGTGGGGATCTAGGAAGTGCAGCTTTGCTTGAGAAGGCATGTCACTAGGAACAGGTTTGAGACTTAAAATGTACCACATCCACTTTATTTCAGCTTGGTGCTAGACATTAGATGTGCCTTTCACTTCCTTTTTCTATCACTGTGACTTGCTGCTATGCCTCTCTGCCATGATGGACTTTTATTCTCTGGAGTTTTGAGACCAAATAAGCTCTTTCTTCTATAAATTTCTTTTCATGATATCTTATCACAGCATCAGAGGTAACTAACACAAAATAATAAATGGGATTGCAATTATCAATAATGTAAGAAGAGTTATTCCTGAAGGCTGAGTACAGTTAGGAAGGAAAATAAATGGGATCTTCATGATGGTGCCTTGGAATAAGCTTGGAAGACATGAATCCAGAGAAGTGACCAAATTATAAATAACCTGCTGCATATACAACTCTGTAGGCCCTTTTATAAAGAAGTTCAAAATAATGAAATTAAGATATTTGGAAATTATCATTGTTAATATTCTGGCTGTTATACTTTGCTTATGTAAAATGCTATTCCCTGGAGAACTTGTGCACATTGCTTTCTTATACATTCTTATGGAACTTTATCCAAAAAAGGATTTTATAGAAAGCTCAAAAGATGATGGTGATATGTCTTTCTGTATGCTGTGAATATATGTTTTTTCTTATTGATTGATGAATAAAGCTGTTTTGGCCAATGGACACGAAGGATTTACTCAAGCAAGAAGTATAGGCAGTGCGATAAGCTAAGAGATTTCTAGGTAAAGGAACAGAGAGAGTGAGTCTTGAAGAGATGCCACGTAGTTACCAGGAAGGTGGGATGCCCAAGTATTTTCTAGTAAACCAAGAGCACATAGAAATACACAGATCAATAAAAAATTGGTTGATAATTAAGAAAGAGTTAGCCAGCAAGAAGCCTGAGTCACAAAACCGTTTATAATTAATATAAGCCTCTGTGTGTTTATTTGGGACTAGGTGGGAGACAAACTTCCATCTATACAAAGATAATACATAATAAACAATGTGTATAAGTACTTGTAAATGTATACACATAGATTCAAATAAAAAGGTTTTTTAGTTATAGCTAATAGGGAGAAGAGCCTAATAATAATCAAAGTAAAAGATGGCTTGCATGTTCAGAGTACTCATTTTCTCAGTACTCTGATTGATGAATTTGTAATAAATAAAAACGAATGTTTAATAAAAATAAAATATAGAATATTGAATGTCTAAAGAAAAACTAGTGGCTGAACATGTCACCATCATGGTCATAGTAGAATTTAACATAATATGAGATCTTTGACCTCTGTATTTACAAAGCATTGAAGCCTATATTGATCATATAATATTTTATATAATGTTTTATATACTTTGTTCCTAGTGTTTGTATGGTACTTCAGTGTTCAATGCTAATATAATATACAAACAATAAAAACAAATACAATAGGCACGTTCCTTAACATATCTTTTGGAACAAATTCATTTTAAGTTAAAAGTATGAGATTTAATAACTCATTTTCCAGATTTTGTGTATTTTTTCAGACTTCATAAAGTCACTATTAAATATATTTAAAAGTTTATCTGAAAATTAAGCATTAGATTACAATTTCTATACTTTTAATTAAACTCAAGTCATGCAATTTTCTTTGTATAGGAAATAAAAATTATTTTCTACCACTGACATCTTTTGTTTATAATATCTAATGGGATAGCACTAGGGAGTCTGCTCATCACTTAATAAAAATTATTTATGTAAATCAATTAGAAAGGCTTTAAACAGAAGCAATTTAGGTTCCTAGAGGACTATGTTGTATGAGTTTACTGAATTGTATTTTAATAATTATTGTAATAACCATAACATTAATCCAGTAACTACTCTCCTTGTGTTACTCTTTAACTATGTGTTTTCTTTTCCATTGCAAATTATGGAGCTGGGTGAAGCACACACATATGCATGTGCAAATCCACGCATACAAAGAGACAGACAGAAAGACAGACAGACACATACACAAACATATATACACACACCCACATGCACACACATATATACATACATTTCACAGTCATCATGTGTGTTTCTTTCTTAAAAGAACACTAATAACACCAGCTCCTTTTTGCATAAACAAAGCATGTCTTGTTTTCTAATTTAGCTTTAATGTATTTGCTTTATGATAAGTGATCTAAAATCATTTGTTGAAGCCTATGGATATGCTTTATGAAATTAAACAAGTAGGCACCAACGAACATTTCAGACTATTTCCAGATTCTTCATTCCAAGATTCTGACACAAATTTAATTTTTACTTTAGGAAATCAGATTGGACCCTTAAAAGCACCATTTTCTTGTCAAATTCAATGCTAAAGTAAGCTCCCTGTAGAATTTTCTTAGAAAGACTAAAGTAGCATAGTTCAATAAAACAAGTAAAAAGTAAATGGCAATAATTCAATAAAGCATGGCACCTGGGGGAGCGAAGTCTTTAAAAGCATGGTTTAAACATTTCTTAAGATGCTTGATGGAACAGTTCCCCGTGGACCAAAGCAGGAAAGCAAGACGGGCAATGTTAACCCGCAGACCTACCATTATAGCATGGCAGAGGCCTCCTACCTGAAGGGGTCAAAACTGGAGCCAGGGAAGGGAGAAAAGCTGACAGAGAGCCCCGGGAGCCTATCGATCCACAGACTCTCTTCTGGTAACCATTACAGAGACAGGGGTTGACAGTAATTAAAATGACTTACACACTGGTGTGGTTTCAAACTCAAATCTTCGACTGAAGACACCGTAGCCTGCTGCTGTACGTGCTCGAATTTGGAAGACATACACAGATGCAGGCTTCAGGCCCTCCGCAGTAATAGTGGTCTCCTTAGACTTGATAATTGTGTAGCTGCTTTCTTGATCCTTGGATTGCATGTGTAACAAAGGGAAAAAATGGTCTTCAATGCATGAATGACTGACAGCAAAAGAGAAAACTCATGAACTGGACCAGAAATCAAAGACTTTCTGTTACACATACACTGAAAACAAAACCAAAGTTCTCTCTCCTATTCTTGAAGCATTTTAGTTAGTTGGCAAGTGTTTAAAGAAATTAACCTCTTTGATGGTATTGTATTTACTCATCTATCATATACATCTTGGGCAATAAAAACTTTATAACATTTAATAAAATTAGGAGATCTGCTTACAGAAATGGTTCAGATGTTAAGAGCAATTACTGGTCTTTCAGAAGACTTGGGTTTAGTTCCCAACTACCACAAGATGACTCACAACCAACTATAGCTCTAGTTTAAGGTGTCCAATGGCCTCTTACATCTGTAGGTTCATGAAGTGCCATGGCACACATACATATTCTCATTCTCTCTCTCTCTCTCTCTCTCTCTCTCTCTCTCTCTCTCTTGTGTGTGTGTGTGCTTGTCTGTCTCTGTCTCACACACCTTAGGAGAACATTACTTGGGAGACTGCATTTTGGTATGTATGTCTATGTGCTTGTTTCTGTACGACTGCCTTCTTGTAATATCCCTAACATATTTGCTAGCCCTCCAGAATGCTGAAATTATCTCCTGAGTATTCAGATTATATGTAAGCTTTAAGTCTTCTATGAATTTGATTTTTAATTATATTTAAAGCTGGTGAGATGAAATAAATACTTCCAATAAACTTTAATTTTGAGTTATTTAAACAGGAAGCAGTAAAGAAAATTGCAAAGATACAGGACATTATTTTTCTTTTCGTTTTAAAAAAGGTCCAGCTGTAGAAGAGACTAGTAACTTAGAGAATCTGCTCCTGTTGGAGAGATAATAACAGAAGTCTCCATCAACCCCATGTCATCTCTGTCTGAGGATAAAGGACAACATTTACCATGACACTCTAACCATAGGCTCACATGCTGTGTTGCATTAGATTAACTTTTATTTCCATTTGTACTTGAGAGTAGGACCTGTTGCCTGAGTGTGGGTTGCTCATGGACCCCAGACTGATAGATTAGAAACAAGCATAGGACTTTTCCAGACGCCCTGAATGAGGATGTCAGTTTGGAGATCTGATTAATCTGTGGGGCCTCTGGTAGTGGATCAGTATTTGTCCCTAATACATGAATGGGCTTTGGGAATCAATTCCATGTAGAGGGATACTCTCTCAGTCTAGACACACACGGCAGAGGGTCTAGGCCCTGCTCTAAATGATGTGACAGACATTGAAGATCCCCCATGGAACACCTCGCCTTCCTAGGGAGCAAAAAGGGGATGGGATAGGGAGTTAGTGGGAGTTAGGGGAGGAGGGGGAGAGGGAACTGGGATTGACATGTAAACGAAGCTATTTTCTAATTTAAATTTAAAAAGGAATAAAACATGTAACATGAAGACACTTCACTGATTAATGTACATGATCTAATGGATGCTCAACTCTTCGTAATTCCACATAAACAAGGTGACATCTAACCACTTTCTGTACCACAACCAATACTACAGAAAACATGAAGCTGCAAGCTCATTGCTTTGGAAGCAGCTAATCAGCCATCATTTATATGCTTCAATATATCAAATCATCACGGTCCTAGGTATACCCAAATATATCTCTAAATTAGGATGGTTTGTTTTATTTCTAACAGAACTAGGTTTTCTTATTCATTCTGGACGACTATTGATCTTTAGTTTGTAATGCATAGATTAAGTGATTAATCTATAAAATATTGAGGGAATTTTATTAGTATTTTAATAAGGGAGTTAAAGTACATAATTAAATGCCACAAGATGAACTTTAAATGCCAGTTTCTTTATTCATAAGCCCATCTTCATCATCTCCTATCTATTGTGCTCATGCTAGGAGAAGAGTGGTAAAAAAAGTCATTCCATGTGCTGTTCCTAAATATTGCAAACAACTTTTTTTTTGCAAACATTCTTTTATATTCTATTGTAGTTACTGAGAGTTCAGAGAATGTTCTAGTTTATGACTGAATAAACCTGATCATATTATTCAATTTTTTTTCAATATTGAGCCTAAATAGACCAGTTCTCAGTAATAAACTTTGCAGTTTGGCTATGATTGTAGCAATAACTTTCAGTGGGAAATGATTAAATATCTGTTTGCTAATATTATTTTCATCTCTTTGAAAGAAATTTAACTTTGTGAAGATAAATCTAGCAAAACTACTTCTATATTAAGATATATTTGCTATGATTTTGAGTTTCTTTTATCATAAAACAATAAAGTTTTTAATATAAAATTGAAGGATGTATTTAAGACCTCAGGAATACTGACATTTGATTCCAAATATATGGTTAATGTGTATTACAGGACTCCAGACCTCAGATTGTTTTTATTAAAAATGGAAATAAAAATCTATCAATGCAATTGAAATGGAAATCACAACACATTAAATAGTTAAATCTGATTATTCAAAAGCTTGGCTGATTGAAACTAATGAAGAACAACAATGTAGAATGAATGCATTCTGTAATTATAGTGAATTTTTATTTTGCCAAAAATAATTTTAAAGTACTTACAAGAAAACTGAAATGGTATTTGAAATAATATGTGACACAGCATCAATTTAAAAAAGACACCACTGTTTGGTTTTATGGTTAACATATCTTTGTTGTTCTCTAGCTAGTGTCTGATTGCTTTGTCTTGCTGAATTAGTTCCATACTATATTTTTAAAAAATAGCAAAGGTTGTATTGCATGATTAAACCTATTAGTATATACTCTAATGATCTCAGTATTCTACAAATACATTTCCTTTCTTCTTTTTAAATCACTGCAACAGGCTCATTTTCATCTTATCACAAACTCTATATATAACCTCATCAGCAACCAACAGCACCTGGCTGCCAAATAGTAGATCAGGGCAGGGTTGTTCACTGCCTTGATGCCCCAGCTGAGCAAATGAGCTACATTCCCCAGCTGCTCAATGAACACTGCTCACATGTAGTGAGGGGAGGGCCCAGCTAAAGAAGCCAGCTGGCAGACAGCCTGTCAAGGGGCAGCTTCCCCTTTTCTTCTGCCTTTAATTAAGAGATGGCAAGAGGCCCATCACAGGCCAGAGCAGAGGAGTCCAATGACCTCTATTAGAGCAGGGCAATGGTGGGTAGATGTGCCAGCTGGCAAGTGTGCATGTCCTAGAAGGCTGGGCCACCTGTGGCTGGCCAAAAGCCATCCTATAAAAGAGTGGTGTCACTCTGAAGCTTCCAAATGAGCTCTGGAAATCTACCAAAACCCCCACCTCAATAGGGTATAAAGGCTCACTATCCTTTTCCTTCTAGAATTTTTAGGACAATTTTATGTATATATGAGAATGTTTAATAACAACTTGATACAAGTTCAGGGAATTAATAACATTAGCAAATCATTATGTAACTTCTACCTAATACTGTATGCATTAGTACTTTTAAATGCCTACAAGGATGAATTATTATTAGGGTATTTTACACTTACTGTATGGAAAGCATTTTCCCCAATTAAGTCATTTTCTTTTTTAAATGTGTGTGTGTGTGTGTGTGTGTGTGTGTGTGTGTGTGTTGGTGTGTGTGTGTGTGTGTGTGTGCATGCCGATGCATGTACATGTATATGCAGGATCACATATGCACCTGTGCACATGTGTTTGAAGACCAGAGGGCAATCATTCAGTGGCATCCTCAGAAATGCTATCTACCTCCATTGAGACAATCTCTCATGAACTTCAAATTCAAAATCAATTTAGCAAGATTGGTGACCAGGAAGCCCCAGAGATCCTCTCAGGTCAGCCTTCAGAACAGTGGGGTTATGAGCATGCATCAGCACAACTGGAATATTTTACATGGGCTCTGGGTATCAGAAGCAGGCCCTCAAACATGTTCACAAGTATTTTTCCAACTGAGAATTTCCTAGCATCACATTATTTTTCTTACCCTCAGTTATAAAGAAAATAAAACATGTTAAGATGCCATTACATGCAAACTGTTACAATCATGTTGAAATTCAGATAACTGAAAAAGAAATTCTCCTTTTGCAAAAAAAAAAAATGTTCCAGTTTTCAGAACATGGATAGTATTCAGTGGCAATAGCAACAGCAAGTAACACTTTCTAAGGGACATTTAATATCTGTGCTCTTACAGAAGAAGCAGCTTAACTTATGAAAGAGACAGACATTCTTGCTCACAATGAGTCATGTACGTAACCTGGAAACAAGTAGATAAAGCCAAGGTTACTAATTATGATGGCAGGGGATGGATTTTGGGAGTAAAAACATGAATACTGTTAATCAGTCTACATCACTGATTGAATAGAAGAAAAACAATGTAGACACACAAGCACACATTAAACATGCAGTGTTAGTGCTAATAAACATTATTTCAGCTAAGTTAATAACATACAATAATTTACATAGTTTGGGGTATAAACAGATCAATTGAGTCTAGTAAAAATTTTAACATGCTAAAATCCATTTTAATCACAATAGATTGTAAATATAAAATGTTTATAGTCGAAGTTTGTTTGTGTTTCCATGTAAATGTTTAATTCTAGATAACTTTGCAATGAGTAGAGAAGTAAAGGTTCAAAAACAAATAGGGAATGTATTCTTAGTTTACAAATTACTACACACAGAATGTGTTCATGTTGTAGACATCTGCAATTCTAATGCAGTTTCTCATTACTAAGTTCAGAGAACTGGGAATCCATGAGGATCCTACATTCTACCACATTAACCCCACTTTTGTTGACAGGAAATTCTGTCAACCATGCTGCAAAACAATTCCATCGCAAAGATGCCCTCATAGCACATTTTCTTGTATTCCAAAGTACATATTTGGTGTGGATAGCAAGGTACCAGGAAGGACAGTGGGAAAAGAGAACAATAAGAAGAAATTATCATGGAACATGAGTGAAGTTGACATGATAAAACCAATTTGATTACACTCTATAATTAGCCAGCAAATTATACAACAATGACAAAAAGTAACCTTAAAATACCCTGAACAAAATAGTATCACCATCTTTTTTTGTTTCGTTTTTTGAGACAGGGTTTCTCTGTGTAACACCCTTGCCTCTCTGGGAACTCGCTCTACAGACCAAGCTGACTTTGAACTCACAGAGATCTCCCTGCCTCTGCCTCCCAAGTGCTGGGATTAAAGGCATGCTCCACAACCACCCAACAGTATCACTATTTACATTCTGTGGGATCCAATGTTTACAGATGAGACTGTCATTAATCATAATTGACGGAATTATAATCCACCAAGAAGATCAAAAGGATCATCACTGCAGGCATTATAAGAGCTTAGACTTAAGATATAGACAGCTCTCACTACTTCATATTACTTCATTAATGTGTTATCCTTAACTAAGATCCAAGTAGTTAATCAAAAAGAGGCATTTTAAATACCTATAAACTATGAAAATTTTCATTGACCATATTTTCTTAGTCTCTTTCATTTTGTATGTACAAGAAATTTTAGATTATTAGGGACTGTTCCTTATCTATTCTGAGCATTTCATGTGGTAATGAAAAGATCCATCCTCCTTTCCCAATGTCCTGTGCTAGGAAGGCTCTTAGGAATCACACATATTGGGTTTGTGCCTTTTTCCATTCCATTTTTCTTCCCTAATAGTGAAATGATGCCTCTGTGAGTTTATGAGCATCTATTGAGTGTACCTCACTCATTTCACTCCACTGGGATTCGTTTATATGTACTCTGCTCCTGTACTTTTCTGATCCAAAGAACAGAAGGCCAGCACATTCGAGTCAAGATCTTCACTTCACCTATTGTAACTGGCTGGGGCATCCATCTAACTTCTTGAACTATTCTTGGAACTCAGATTATTCTAAAGATATGCTATAAAGGTAAAAACTACACAAATTCACATTTTCATAGGATGGGGAGATAGAATGATAGATGATGATTCCAGCATTTCAGCCATGTATGCCAGCATAACAATAGAAATTAAAAACTCACTCTGAGCTTCAAAAATTTGATTCTATTCCCAATAGCTTACTTGATTATAGAGTCAAAAGAAAGTAAGATTTGACATGTTATTCAGGGAAACATAAGAAATCATGAAAACAGATAATGTAAAGAATATATTTCCATTATTTTCACCTCAAATTTCAAATACAAAGATTTAGACACTTATTATGGATGTGTGTGTGTGTGTGTGTGTGTGTGTGTGTGTGTGTGTGTGTGCGTGTGTGTGTGTGTGTGTGTGTGATTAACAATATATTAACAGACTGTTACTTTTATAATTACCAGTCATAAGTACACATACATAGTTTTCCTTGTGTGATATATTGCACTGACTATTGAAAATCAGTAGAGTGAATATTCACTACACTTTTCAAAATCTTGGATGATTTGTCATTTATTTACTTTTTTCATTATGTGTGCACATGTGGATGAATGTGCACACATATGCATGCATGAGGATGAACACGTGCAAGAGTAAGCCACAGATAAGTGTTTGATGAAGAGAAACATCCTGATCTCCCATGCACCTTATTCAAGGTTGTTGTCCCTCAGTCCATCCAGAGCTCACCAACATCTTTAATGTCTCTTGCTAGCTTTCTCTGGAGAGCCCCTTACTCTGCTTCCTGGAGCAGAATTTGCAGGATGACCGTCACACCCACCTGACATTTATATGGGTTCGGTGAATCCAAAATCAGTTCCTCATGCTTGAAGTGCAAGGTGTTTTTCAACCAGCATGTGGTTTCCCTAGCCCACAACTGAATCTTTTAATGTGAAATTGGTAAAGCTGACTATATATCCTTATTCATACACAGCCACCACAAGTGTTAAGGTCAACTCACTGAGGGTTCCTGACCCCACAAGCACAGATGAAAAATAGACTTTTATTGTTTACACATGAGAGTACAACCTCCTCTTGTTCAAATCTAGAACTGAAGTTGTTAAAGTGGAAAGAAAAAAGAAAATGAGTTTTATTTTCCTAGTCCTACCTTTTCAAAGTACTTGATTTCATACTCAAGGATGATTCCATTGGGGCGATCTGGCTCTTGCCAAGATAAAGAGATACTGTTCTTTGCAATCTTTCCTCTTTTCACATTGGTGACTGGTGAGGGAGCTGTAAGATAACACAAATAAATAATAGTATGGTTAATAGAGAAATTACTTTGTGTAACAGCTGATATGTTATGATGTAACTGTTATTACATTTTCATTCATCCTGGAAAAATTTATTTTCTTGGCGACAGTTGTTAAATATTACTAGTACTTAAGCTATATAAGATTAGCTACCCATCCTGAGAATCATGTATTGATACTGTAGCTATCTAGAGTCTTATCTTCATGTTTTCCTCAAATGTAGACAAATAATTTTAATTTATCCTTTTATAGAATATGGTTTCCCGATGACCATGCATATATTTTTTTTTGTAAAAGGCACTTAATGAAATTCAGTATCCATTAATATGTCGTTTCCAAAATGTATAGATTCTTTATCCTTGATCCTCTTATTGTAATAAGTGTGTTATTTGCTAGTTATGTTTTCAAATAGTATTGCCCTTTAATATATTTATTATAATCAATGTTAAAATAAATTCACATATATTTTATATAACACTTTGTTAAATACTATATCCCAAAATTTTAAAACAATGCAAAGAGATTGAATTTTATCTCCTCCAATTATTTTATGATAAATCTGTTATGGTGGTGTTCATTGATATCTACAAGAATGCTTATAAAATGGTCATTTCTTGTAAAAATACAAAAGAAACATACTCCTTCACATGTATCTGGATCCTTGAGTCCATAAAATATCTAGAATTTTAGCCATATTCCATATTTGTTGTGGGATGAGTTATTTTTCACACTCTATGGAGATGATTAAAAAAGGAGTTGATATTGATTGCATAAGACTATACTGTCCATTGTGGTCATAGCTATTCTGTATGTATTATATGATGTTTGCACACATCTAAACCACCTGATGAGACATGTAACAGACTATCCTCACTACGCAGCAATCAATATACTTAGAAAAATATTCTGCACATATATTTTATCTTAAAAACAATAGCCAGTGCCAGGCAGTGGTGGAGAACACCTTTAATCCCAGCACTTGGGAGGCAGAGGAAGTCAGATCTCTGCAAGTTCTAGGCCAGCCTGGTCTGCAGATATAGTTACAGGACAGCATCCAAAGCTACAGAGAAACCCTGTCTTGGAAAACAATAACAACAACAAAAAATGATGGCTAGGTTAGTTACAATACCTAACATAATTTAAATGTTATGCTAAAATTGTTAGATGACATTGATTTAGAAAATTACAGAAATAAAGTCAATGTATGTTCTGCATATATATATATATATATGTATATATATATATATATAATTTTCCCTCAAATATTTTCAATACACAAACTGAAAGTGGTTGAATATGCATATGAAGAACACATTTGTATGAAAGACCAGCTGTATGTGTGAAAATATAAATGGATGGAGGGACAGAGTAGTGTATAGTGCTTTTTGATATGAATGATGTTAACTATAAGAAATTGTGTATAATCAGAGACAGAAGCCTGAGTAGAATATTGGTGAAGTTAAATTCTTGTGTATGTGTACACATTTACAAATACATGTGTGTCCATATGTTAACTAGAATTGTGTGTATGGCATAACAAATGATAAATTTTATATATTTATTTGATTTCTTGATTGTCCAAAGCAATTTTTAAATTTAAATATCCAATTTTTGGCAATGTTTTGAAATTGCACTAACAATGGATGCACTTTGAAAACTAGATCATGGAGATCATATTTTAAATATCATTATATATTGTAGTGGAAACATATTTGGAAAAGAGTTAGCTATTTTAAAATAGAAATAAGACTATACCATTTCTATGTTTAAAGCAGCCCAGTACCTGTCTAAGGCTTTTCTCAGGAAAAAGAGCCCAGGTCATCTGGGAGAGGGAACTGGGATCGGTATGCAAAATAAGATTGTTTTCCATTTAAGTAAAAAACAAAATTACTGAAATAAAAAAGTGCAAAAAAAGAGAAAGCACTCAGATGGTCTTCCTGAGCCTCTGAGTCTTTGGGTCTTACCACTTGTGGTTATGCTTCACTAGATCTCAGCCTGGCATTTTATTTTCTTCACTCTGTACCTAACAACCACTCTGTTGGCAGCTTATCATTCATAAATGCTGTGTGTGCATGCACACACTCACACACATAGACAGATCCCTCCACACACAAGCACTCACACATATATATGCAGACCCCTCACTCATACAAACTCTCTCTCTCTCTCTCTCTCTCTCTCTCTCTCTCACACACACACACACACACACACATTCAGAAACACCCACCTACAGACCCCCCATACACAGAGACCTCACACACAATCATACACACAGAGAGACTACCACCCCACCACACACACACAATACATTTCTAAAACATTCATGGACACACTTTCCTTCTTCCTAAGGTTTCTCAGAGGTCTTAATGTGTTATAGTTCTTTTTTTATTTGAATTAGAAACAAGATTGTTTTACATATCAATCCCAGTTCCCTCTCCCTCCCCTCCAATTTGTTATAGTTGTAATAGTTACCATCTCTCAACAATGCCCTCATCTGCCCTTATCAGCCCCTGTAATGCTCCTCTGTTCTATTATCATGATAAGTCTCACATTTCTCTCCTGACATAGTGCATTTTTACTTCTCTGGTTACTCCGACCATGATGTAAATTTGAAAAGACAGGGATAATTTGTGTTTGTACATTGCTGGATCGCTTGTATCTGGAACAGTGTGTGCAATCAGAACAAGAGCCAATGCATCAGTACACAGTTAATGATGGCTGGCAATATGTCTAACTTTTTATTTTTGACCAATGACAAAAGCTCAATAATGAATGGTTTTCAAAAACAAAAATGTTTTAATTTTGTCTTAATATTATTTAATTTATACTTCATAATATATGAATAATAAAATTAAATTAACATATGCAATATAATTTGTAATTGTTTATATAGTAGAGATTGATGTACTTAAGAGAACAGTGTGTAAGCTATTTTATATAGCAGGGATGGAGTGATGGGTTTGGTACATTAATGCTTATATTTTATTCTTTGAGTGTCAGAGAAAGTGATACTTAGATATAAAAGATTTTTGTTCTCACCTTTGTCTTGCTTTCTATTTTTCCTTTAATAAAATTTATTTTTAGGTGTGTGTGTGTGTGTGTGTGTGTGTGTGTTGCCATGACCACGGGTGTTCACTTACAGACATCATAGTCAATGATTCCCCTGGAGCAAGGTGGTTGTAAGCTGCCTGGTGTGAGTGCTGGGAACCCAACCCTGCTCTTCTAGAAGAGCAGGGGCTGTTCCTGAACTCCCCTAACAACAATCTATACATTTTTCCTTGAACATACAGATAGTGTATTCTTTAGCCTTCATCAATGCAACTTTTCTTTGCAACAAAGGAGACTATTACAGAAAGGCACATCCAGTGAAACTGCAAATAAGCATGCATTATATCTCACAAAGACCTCAGAAAAACACAACTGGGCACAAAGCTGAAAGGAACAGATCTTGAAAAGCTCAACTCTCTACTTCTACATCAAAGCTCTTATAACTGTGACTCATGAAATAGCCTGGAAGATAGACAGAAAGAATGCAAAAGCCAAAACACCGGGGAATCTGTAGCGAAGATTCTCTTCTACAAATAGCTGCACAACTAAGCATGGACCAATAGTAATAACATTGGCAGTGTTAATGTGGATAGAGAAAACTTTATGGTGTTCCATTCCTAGACAGAGAGCTATATGCAACTATTAACTGCTGAAAGTAGGAGCATTATCCTTTCCCAGGGATGACCCCAACCTCCCTTATTGGTTGTTGAGTGCAGAGTTGCCTGCCTTGTTACCATGTATACAGAAACACATGTGGATACCATGTATGCATGCAGGCAAATAATTTAGAAGCACAAAATAAAAATAAATAAAGCCACCAGGCATTGGTGGCACACACCTTTAATCCCAGCACTCAGGAGGCAGAGGCAAGTGGATCTATGTGAGTTCGTGGCCAGCCTGGTTTCTACAACGAGTGCCAGGACAGGATCCAAAGATACACAGAGAAACCCTATCTCGAAAAACCAAAATAAATAAATAAATAAATAAATAAATAAATAAATAAATACAGCCTAGGGACTGAGCTTTAAAAGTCAACAAACCTTGTAAAAATGTTGCTGAATGATGTCTAATCATAACCTATTAATATCTCTGTATAAGATAAGGAAAAACTAAGGCAGTAAAGAAGTGAGGTTGCGAAGATCATAAAGATTTCTGAATACCCAAAGTATTGTATACTGATACCAGGCTTACTCAGTGTCATACGTAGGGTTTCAAGTGCTGAGACCAAACACCATGACCAAGAAAAGCAAACTGGGGAGGAAAAGGTTTATTTGGCTTATACTTCCATATGGAAGGAGGCAGTAGCTGATGCAGGGGTGGGGTGCTGCTCACTGACTTGCTTCCTCTGGCTTTCTCAGCCTACTTTCTTATAGAACCTAGAATTACCAGGCCAGGGATGGCACCACCCACCATGGTTGACCATCCCCTATTGATTAATAATCCAATTAAAAAATGGGATACAGATCTAAATTGAGAATTCTCAATAGAGTTATCTCAAAGGGTGGAGAGGCACTTAAGAAATTGCTCAATATACTTAGCAACAAGGAAATGTAAATATCATCTTACACCTGGCAGGAGGGCTAAAATCAAAAACACCAATGACAGTTTATGCTGGAGAAGACATGGAGAAAGGGGAACACTCATCCATTGCTGATAGGAATGAGAACTTGTACAGACACTTTGGAAATCAGTATGGTGATTTCTCAGGAAAATGTGAATCAGTCTACCTCAAGATCCAGCAATACCACTCTTAGGCTTACATCCAAAGGATGCACATTCATACCACAAGGACATATGTTCAACTAGGTTCACAGCAGTAGTATTTGTAATAGCCAGAACCTAGAAGTAATCTAGATGACCCTCAAGTTACGAATGAATGGAGAAAAAGTTGTATATTTTCATAATGGAGTACTACTCAGAGGTAAACAAAACAAAACAAAAAACCAATGACATCATGAAATTCGCAGGCAAATGGATGGAACTAGAAGAAACCATCCTGAGTGAAGTAACCCAGACAAAGAAAGAAAAACATGGCATTACTCACTTATAAGTGGATACTAGACATAGAACAAAGGAGTACCAGCCTACAATCCACAACCGCAGAGAAGCTAGGAAACAAGGATGACCCTAAGAGAAAAATACATGGACCCCCTAGAAGGGCAACAGAACAAGATCTCCTGAGTAAATGGGGATGGGGCAAGGGAGGTAGGAGAAAAAGGAACGGAAAAGGGGAGGGGGCAGAACATGAGGAATCAGGAAGGTCAAGTTGGGAGAAGAACAGAGAAGGAGAGCAAGGAAACAGATGCCTTAATAGAGGGAGCCATTATGGGCATACCATAAACCTGGAACTAGGGAAATCTCCAGAAATCCTCAAAGATGACCCCAACTAATAATTCAAGCAATAGCGTGGAGGCTACCTTAAATGTCCTTCCCCTTTATTGAGATTGATGGCTACATTAAATGCCATTACAGACCATTCATCCAGTAACTGATGGAAGCAGAAGCAGAGATTCACATCTACGCATTGATCAGCAGTCCTGGAATCCAGTTGTAGAGATGAGGAGTGATAAGCAAAGGAGTCAAGACCATGTTGGGGACACCCACAGAAACAGCTAACCTGAGCAAGTGGGAGCTCACTGACTCCAGACTGACAGGTGGGGGACCAGCATAAGACTGAAGCAAGCCCTCTGAAGGTAGGTTTCAGTTGGGGGCCTGAGCAGTCTATGGGGGTCTCTGGCAGTGGAACCAGTATTTATCTATAGTGCATGAATGAGCATTGCAAGCCCTTTCCCTATGGAGGGATACTCTCAGCCTAGATAAGCAAGGGAGGGTGTAGGTCCTGTCCCAAATGATATGACTGGCTTTGATGATCTCCCATGGGAGGCCTCACCCTTCCTGAAGAGTGGATGGGGGTGGAATGGAGAGATGGTGGGGGGAATGGGAAGATGGAAGGGATAGAGAACTGGGATTGGCATGTAAATTAATATTGTTGCTAATTTAATAAAAATTAATTTTAAAATATAATTGAGAAAATATAGCTTTAGCTCATGGAAGCATTTCCTATTTTAAGGAAGCATTCTTCTATGATGAATCTAGATTGTGTCAAGTTGACACAGAAAACCAGCCAGTATACTCAGTTATTACAAAGATCATCTCAACCTCCTTACCTTACTTATTTGCAATCTCTCACTACTACAATGATGTTCTCAACTGGTCATTAGGTTTACTTAACTGTTTACAGTGCATAGTTTACTTTTTTAATAACTATCAATAAATGCTTGTTGCTTACTATAATTTGGTAATGACAATGAAAAGAAGATTATGTACATGTATCTCATATTAATTGCATAAAATAAAATGGTTATCTCATCCTTCCAAATGTAGAAACAAAGTTTAACCCACTAGGAGCACAACTGCAAATATATCAGTAGAATAAGAAGGAAGGGGGTGGGATAGGGGATCAGTAAAGGACAGGGGAGAAAGGGAGGGAGAGAGAACTGGAATTGACATGTAAAGCAAGCTTGTTTCTAATTTAAAGAAAAAAGAAAAATAGAACTGGCTATGCATCATTTGGTAGAAAGCTGAGCCTAAATAAATTGGTGTCAGTTACTAAAATCTGATTATGTTTTTTAGTATTTCTACTAGGCAGCTAAAATACGCAATTTAGTTCTCTATCTGCAATATCAGTTTAAAGGGAAACTAACAATAATGTTTGCAGAAATATCATTTAAAATATTATGTGTTAAAGAGGTTTGAATAATGGATCTTTTATGATTCTTTAATCTTTTAATTGTATGTGGTCTTTTCTCAGAATAATAAAAATACAGGAATTCTGTTTTATTTTGTTTTCTGCCTATAGATGTTTTCTTAAATCTACGTTGCTAGTGACAGGCCAAGTTACCTGCGTTACTAGTGAGCTGAAAGTTTTGAATTGTAAAGTGTTAAAGAATCTTAGCTTTTTTTTTTAGGACAGAATGCATTCATTATTTCTTGAAACAGCATGAACATGGTGGAAACTTGATCCTTAATTGTGTAAAATGGAGGAAAACTAAGTATAAAAACCCTACACATTGCTAACTAGTTTGTATATAATATATACTGTATATAACATATGTGATTATATACAATTAAATAAAATATACATAAAACGATAATGTATATTAAGATTTAGGTTATGTTTTTCAGAAAAATTACTGTAGCCATATTAACTTTTTCTTGATCTGTGATAATCCATCAAGTTAAATGTCATTACATTAAGTTCTGTAACTTTCCTCCACAAGTCCCTTCTTTGGGCTGGAGAGGTGGCATAGCTGTTAAGGGCACTGGCTGCTCTTGAGAGGACCTGGTTTCATTCCCAGGACCCAGAAGGAGACTTTGGGTGAACTTTTTGAGGCTCAACAGACTTTTGGTTTGTTCTCTACTTTCCCTAAATACTCGTATAAAATGTGAGGTGTTCAAAGATATTTTAAACAAATCTATATACAAATATGTGAAATAATTTTATATCATATAGATAAAACTTGGATATATATAATTTTGAAGATGGAAAATAGGGGCTTTAGATAGTAATGCCTCAATCTTCTTCATAAAATGTTCTGTTCTTCTACATCTTCAGAAAATAAGATGAGAAGGGAAATTAAGCACATAGGTGTTACAGAACATCAAACTGACACATTTCTAATTTGATAAAACATTGTATTATGAGAAAATACAGAACCTAAATCTAATTCATTTGAGTTAATTTACTTATTTTTTAAAATTTTGCTTTATGGTACAGGTGTTTTGTTATAATATATGTCTGTGCACAACCGTGCTTGCAGAAAAAGTTAACAGTCATGAGCTGGAGATACAGGTGGTTATGAGGCACCATGTGGATGCTGGGAATTGAATGCTGGTATTTATAACCACTGTCCTATCCCCTCTGTTTGACTTTAGCTTGTGTGAAATAGCCCTAAGTTTAACATTGCATATGTATCCTTCTGTTGCTATTTGATTTAAATTAAATATCATTTCGCTCATTAGACATATGGATTCAGGTCCTCTTTAATTTTCAGTCAAGTTACATCCTGATCAGCCATTCAGAAACTGCAAAAATCATAAAACAATGTCCATTCAGTATGTCCAACTTGTTCAGTATGAACAAGTTTGCTGATTACCACTCTCATTGTATGGCATGGTTTCCACTCATGATCTTCAGCATGCTTACTGGTAGCTATGGTTCATTTCACAGGTGGTTCTCTGGACACTGAGTTTATATAAACCATGAGCCTAACTAAAGATCAAGATTAAAACCTACACTACTGTTTCTGTTGAATGTAGATCAACTTTCAGTGTCATGGATAAAATAAATTAGAGCTGTGAATGTCATGGAATACAGTCATATGCTCCTTGGTTTATAAATGGTTTAATTAAGATGCATGTAATTATTACTCTGGTGTGTTTGCTTTAGTGTATGCTGTTAATTGCAGGTAAAAAAATTGTAAATATTTCCTAATAAGTGAGAAAATCAGTGGTTAAATTTAAAACATTTCAGAGTATTAATATAAAAATGGCATTGATATACAGATACATAGTGAGTATTGCACCTGTAATATGTGCCATATTTAATGCACATATTAATCACATAGTTTATATATTCAATAAATAATTATTTCTGTATTATAGTCAGATGTTAATGGAAAAAGAAAATAATGATAGTTCATTCTAACCTACTTAGTATGTGAAGTCTCTACTAAAG